TTGAAGCGCTCTTATGTTGTGGCCAGGTGCTGGAATTATGCTAATCTGACAGTTCCATGTGGTTCTTTCTCCTGCAATCAGTCTGAGAGGTTATGATGCATGCCGAGTAACAGCACATTCTCGTGGTTGGGGTCGAGGTCAGGCGTTGCCTGCATGCTCATGTTCCAAGACAACAGCTTGACATCATGCATCCACTGCTGTATCGGAGATGAACTACTGCCGAGCGAGCAGTGGTTGCTGTGGGAGGCAAGAGTCCAGCCATATATTGAAGGGGTAGTTGTAAATGAGATCAAAGGGTTGAGCTTAGTAGAGTAGTGTCAGCGTCGAGAGCTTGAGAGGGAAACAGAACGCTCCAGACATTGACACTTTGTATGTTTCTGCTTTTGTTGTTGGAGCGTTTGTTCTTGTTACCCTTCCATCTTCCCTCCTGACTTCTCTCTTTTGGAATTTGATTCTCCTGTTTATCTCTTCTCAGCTAGTCTGTTTTTACGTCACTTCTTCTCTTCTCATTTTGACAGATACTTGTTTTTTTTCTCTCTCTCTGGACTCTTAATTCTTTTCCTTTTGACAGGTTTTTGTTTCTCTTTCTGACACATTCTCTTTTGTCGTATTGGGAGAGTGGCTCCGAACCGACATGAGTTGAGACATGATCTGTGAACCTTGTCTTTCTTCGCTGGTAGTTTTGAATGATCCGAGTTGTAAGAGTGTGGACAGTATGGAAGACACTCACTTCTTTCTTTTTTCTTTTTTAAATTTTAAGGAAAAAAAACATTGTTTATGGTCCTGACTCCGTGTCCATTCCTGGGAGCGTCAGCCTCGTTCCTCGTCCCCCGGAGGCTATTGCTTCTTTTTTCTTTGGCACATAATTTCTGCCTTCTGACACATTCTATTCCGTCATCTTGAGAGAGTCATCCCCAGGCAGGTTATTGTCAGCACTAAATCGGGCCCATCAATTGTCTGTTGTCATTTTGTCAAAATCATGAAATGTGCATTGAAGCTTTCAAAGCAGCATCCCAAATAAAACGGCATGATTGAAGGGTGTTCTGCTGTCTATGGGAAATATATTTACGGAGTGCGAAACATCGGTGTTTACTAAACAAGATGTTCGTTCTGTTAATGGATAGCCATGTCTGGTATGAACAGCTGCTGGTGGGCAGGGAGCTCTACCTGTTTTTTGTGCAGCAATGCAGAACATGCTTATTAAAAGTGCTGTGCAACCTTATAAAGAAGATAAGAATAAAATGCCTCCTTACTCTCTACGTTTGTTGTGTATCAGGCTAACTTTTTCAGTAAGGGATGTTTGCTTGTCTGCTGTTATCGAATCGTTTTGGCTCTTGTATAATGGCGAGGCTTGCACATAGGATGCAGTTTTGTTATTGCTAACATTCTATCCATCAAAATCAACTCTGGCAAGCCCGTGGTAACGAAATCTGACAAATCTGGAATTGCCACGCCATGACAGTTTTTTGCTGAGTGAAGCCGATGAATCTATCGGAGTCATTTGAAATGAACAGACAGTTTTCCGTTGAGTGAAGTCGATGAATTTATTGGAGTCATTTGAACTGAACAATAACAGGAAAGAGTTCGTCGGGTATAACATGTTTCAAAAAGTGACGAGTTGCGGGTACTTTCGGAAAGTAGTATTTCTGTTGTGTTCGTGTGATCAACCAGGGTACACTGATGTTAACCATATATTAAGACCACCGTCCCTTGAGAGATTCTGGGCCTGTACTCCAGTGTTCACTGTATGAGTGAGCTGTTACTTTTTCTGTTGACAGTTGCCTGTGGCTTCTGTCAGGCAGCGGCCGGGCTGTTGTCGGGCCTCTTCTGAGGTATATGCAAGGAGAATGGAGAAGTCACACGTCTCCTTTCCACTTTGCATTACCCATGGGATTGAACCCCATCAAAGGATCGAAGAGATGGAGCTAATGCGAAGTTCCGGATCTTAATTGTGTGGGGAATACGGCCGTGTAAGGTTTTGCTTGGAGAGCCGTATGCGAAGAAAATTGCACGTATAGTTAGTTAGGAGGAGAGAAAAAAACGCTACAAAGCACGCAGAGTCGTCCTGTGAAAAGGGGCTAGCATTGGGGAAGTGGCACTTTTGTTTGTGAATGGGAGCAGAGCAAAAGAATAAAGGTGAAGGTGTAAGTGGAGGTGGCGATTTGGGGAAAGGAGGGATGATGTAAGTGCGGTTGCTTGTTGATATGTAGATGTAGCAGGTGATGTCCCTCTTGCTTGGCTATAGTTCAACTACAGGACGAGGGTGCAGCCTTTTTTCTGCCGACCGTCCGGTATACGGTTACTTCTGGCCTAGTGGTGAGCGAAATTGAGAAAACGCACGAACTGGTATACAGAGGGTAAGGCTGTGACACACTGTTTACCACATGCTACATATCCTTGCAATGGGCTCTTCCACCCCATGCCATGCCTCTTGTGAACCACAGCCAGTGCAGTTGTTGCACAGTTGCAGTAGGTAAGCGTGGGTGTCTGCGTACATTGGCACACTCTTTTAACAGCACTGGCAGAGCAGTGGCTTGCAAACTTTGCTGTGGAGGTTGGTGGGCGGTGCTCCTGTGAGGCACATGAATCGGTTTTCCTCATGTAAAATACTTTGTGATGGGTGCTGCTTTGCTCAACACCAGTCATCGTTAGTCTCTAACTGCTAGAACTTTTGTCCGTGTCACTTTATGGGTCCTATCGCCTTTTTCCTATTTGTTTGTGAGACCGCACCATGGATATCTGAACATTTGCATAATCCTCCCTCCTTTTCAGATTGACTGCTCCACAGTGAGTAAGTGTGTTATTACGAGACTGGTGTAGTTGGTTGATCTTCAACGTCGTGGTGTGAATCCTTGCGCAGTTGGATAGCTATGGGTGGATAGCTAAAAGGACAATCGTCGGTTTGCCGCAGAGTTCTTCCTGCTTTTTTCTTTCCTGTCTGCCATTTTTCCTCGTTTGCCTCACGAATGATTGTTTGGTTTCATAGCAATGTGGCAAGATGCGCTCTCAGATTGTTCTGCCTGATGTCCCCTCATCGCCTCGGAATCCTCCAATGCCCTGGCTTGTAATCGCTGTGAACAGGGTATCTGCAACCTTCCACTGCTGCACCATCTACGCTCCCTGACAACGTTTCTCTTTTCCGAACGTCTTGTCAGCCTCTCCGTCATACTCATCCTCATTGTCCTTCTCGTCATCCTTGTCCTCACGCTCTAGTCTCGAATGCGGTGTCTTTGTGAATTGTGGATCTCTATTCAGTCTGGTATCCTGCCTTTGTTCTATGCATCTGTGCGTAGTAACACATCCTTCTATCCTCGACTCCACAATCTCTGTTTTGCACATGCTAGCTTCGTTTGAAGTTGCACAGCGCTCCTGCAGTGGTGCTGTCTCGATGCAGGCAGACAGCTGATTACATAACCACAAGTCCTAGATGATGTTTGTTGGATGTATGGTGCTCATTGGGACGATCCCCGCCACAGCATTGTTGAAGCCGGGGACATCTTTCTTCCTGATCTATCTGTGCACAAGCCAGGGCTTGCCACAGTAATCTTGTGGCACTCTGGCGGCTGCACTTTTGTCCATGGCAGAGGTGTGACTTCTCTTGCTCCAGTGTAGACTTTACAGTCTAAAAGACCTACTGGACAGTTGAAGGTTCATGACTCGTGTGCTGAAAGTGGACACTTGCAGAGTAGCGGGACCATGATCAAGACAACAGGGGGTGTAATTGCCGTCTTTTGCTCTAATCAGTGAAGCATCCCTCTTTTCTCTCGTCTGGACACTACTGAGCATTGGCTGTGATGTCTCACTTCGTCCAAGTTGCGCACCAACCTCGCTGCAGATCCCACCTTCCTTGAGGCACTGACCGGGTGGAGCATCACGGTAATCTCTGCTCTGAGTGCCACTAGTGTCTGCGGTCAGTTCCTAAATGCGATGTCTCTCCTCCTGCCAGTTGCCCATCAATATCCTCCTGCCTTCAGGCAGATTACGTAATACAAGGAAAGCTTCTTCAACGTGCTCATGCCAGTCGCAACAGGGCACCAATTTCAGCTGGCCTATGCTTGTCACAGAAATCCTTCGACAATTAGCCTCGTATGTGTGCAGTTCGTTCATGAACCTGTCCACAAGATGCCCCTTGTGTATGTCATCGTCCATGCCATCTCTCTCTCTCTCTCTCTCTCTCTCTCTCTCTCTCTCTCTCTCTCTCTCTCTGTGTGTTGCATCGGGGCACTAAAACCAGCTGGCCTATGTTTGTCACATAATTCCTTCTACAATTAGCTTTGCATGTGTGCACTTTGTTCATGGACCTGGCCACAAAATGCTCCTTGTGTATGTCATCGTCCATGCCATACTTCACGCTAACTGTTACCTTCAAAGTAGCATAGTTTTGCGGACTCAGAGAGCTGTGTGCACCTGTCTACCTTGTGATCACTTGCCGATCTCTATGTCAGGGCAGTCTGTCGATGATTTATGAATGCTACATTTGCGTCAACAGGGTTCTATTTACTATTGCCCTCTATCGCCATCATGTCTGTCAGGAGTCCCTGAAAGTTGTCATGCAACCATATACTCAGTGTCACACCCTGTGCATCCAGTCATTGTATGTCTGCTTGCTGCAAAGGATGCTGACTGAATGTGCATGCGCAAAACAACCCATTCTTTCTCCAGGTCTGCAGTGAGTGACATTGAGTTTATCTGTATCTTTTGTGTCAGGCTTTTCATGCTTGCGTCCGATATTTGTCAAGGTCTAACTGGCCTTCCACTCTTCTTTGGCCCTCTTATTCTCCATACTTGTTGTGCTGCACAGGCTGCAAGTGTTCTTTTTATAGCATATATGCGTGTGTGGCTGGTTTACTGTATAGCAGTATGGGTTTGACAATAATGCATGTATTTAAGTTGTTTTTAGGGGGGAGGGAGAGAGAGAGAGAGAGAGAGAGAGAGAGAGGCGCGTAATGGAGGATAGTTGTGATTTTTCTCTTCCTTTCTTTTGAAACGTTTGTCTGCAGGAACTCACAAGAAGTTTTTCTAGTTTGAACGGTGATGAAGATCTCGAACGTGCCATGTCCCTTTCTTTGCAGGTATGATGAGACTGTCCTTATAGAAACACCATGTATGTATGCAATGTAATGGTCGTTCTGGAACGGTACGAAGTCGTGCCTGCATGCCCTTTGAGAAGGGGTTAACTTACAGTGAGTTACTGAGCAGGGGATTTGTTTTGTGTTCTTTTCCAAAAGGATAAGTTGTCGAGGATAAGTCGCTTTGGCGAAGCTTAGCGCATTTCCGCCTTAGCAAAGACAGGCTAGGAGGTAGTGGTGGTTTAGAGTTTTGGTCCTTTTGGCATTTGACAATCACGTAGTAGAAGCTCACGCAGAACGGGGGGAAGAGGAGAGCGAAAAGAGGAGGAGCAAGAATGACTTCTCACAGGAGTCCTGGTGTTGATGATGTCTATGTGTTCCGCTCTAGGAAGAACTTAAAGCATTGTTCATTGCTTTTCGTATGAGGACTGGCCCTGGACCATTAGAGCACTGGAAGGGCATATGGTAAGGGAGGGCTGGTGGGCCCAAAAGAAAAGGAAAAGGTACCATCCCTGCTCATTTTTCTTGTGGCACGACGTGAAATGATAAATGGTAATGGGGGGCTGGGCGGCTCATACTGAAGATGAGAGTTAAACCGCCAGCTCAATTCCCAACCAGTTTTCTCCGAAGCTGTGTGCATGTGGCTGCAACTTTTGGGGCTTGACCTACTGGAACAGAATTGCTGGTGGCGGCAGCCAAAAGCAGGGTCGAAAGTACTGGTGGTTTGTCTTTTCTTTGGCGCACAGTGTGTTTCGAGGCTCGGCAAGGGAAGGGTCACTGGTGGTTTACGTGTTTCCTTTTTGTTTTTCATTTCATTGATTCCCTTCCCCCCCCCCTCCCCCCCTCCCCCCCTCCCCTTGCAAGGGAGAGCCACCCTAACAGCTCAGCAGGGCAGACTGAATCAAGTGCAGTGCACACCCGGACCTGGCTGAACTCTGGACAACAAGAGAGGTGCCAAAGACACATATAAAGAATGTTGTGTTTGGTTTTCTTCTTCGTTTTCTTTTTTGGGGTTTTGCTCTCTGGAAACCACAATGACGAGGCCTACCTGCCGGGCCTTTTGTCACATACACTGCTGGCACGGGTACCGCCTTAGAGCATACTCACACCAGGCCCTCAAAATCGCCAAATCACAAAATCAGCGGGCAGGTCGCACCCTTGTAAGAGGATATCTGACTGCTGATTATCCATCTCGCGGTATGCGGTTGAAAGCGGGTTTGGCAAAATGCATTTTTCGGTTTGTCAACCTAGCTTCAGATGGACTGGTGGCTTAAGGGGCCATTGGCGTGTTAAGGGGCTGTTGGTGGTGTAAAGGAGGGTGAAGATAAAGAAGACAAGTGTGGACAACGATGAGTAGAAGCAGTCAGTGAGTGAATCAAACTTGGTGGAAGTAGCAAGTCACACTGCATTGTCTTTTCCCCCCCCAGGGCCCCCACTGTAAACCATACTTGCAACCGCACCGTGCGCGGTACCGTCCGGTGCGCCGCACGGCGTGCGGTGCGGCACCTGCTCGTGTGCCGTACCAGCGGCAGATTCCCTTTTTTTGTTTCTTTTTGCTGTTTTTGTAGATACAGAAGAGTGCAACACCTAAGGCACTGATCTTTTTCAAGTACAGTTGTACATATTTTTCTTAACATCCAATTGGGCATGAGAAATAGCCTCGAAAAGGTGTCTGGGACATCAGTCTTGACTCTTGACCTTTAGGTAGTGGCGTTACCCTCCCAGTAGTGCCGCCCCCCCCCCCCCAATCGCACGCCGAATCTTTAAAGGGAACGCAAGCTCACAACTGGAGAAGAGGGCCGACGGGTTTTGGGTATGTTAAGAGATCATTGTGGGACTGTTTGTGTAATTTCAGCACTTGACAAACATGTATTGGAAGCTCCCAAAGGACGGGTGGGAAGTTGAGGGTAAAGAGGGATGATGGAAGGATGAGGAGCAAGAATGGCTTTCCACTCGAACCCCACTGTAAATTGTGCCCTTTTTCTTAGCGTTAGTCAGAAACGAATTGGCTGTCAATCAGGGAAAGAAGGGTGGACAATGAGGGAGACAAGTGTGGAGGATGAGTGGCAGCAGCAGTCAGTGCATGATTAGGAGTGGGGAGAAGTAACTMGTCACACTGGATTGTTCGGGGTAAAGGTAAATTGTGCCCTTTTTCTTAGCGTTAGTCAGAAACGAATTGGCTGTTAATCAGGGAAAGAAGGGTGGACAACGAGGGAGACAAGTGTGGAGGATGAGTGGCAGCAGCAGTCAGTGCATGATTAGGAGTGGGGAGAAGTAACTAGTCACACTGGATTGTTCGTCTTTACCCCGCCGTAAACCAATCGTTGGAGCAAACAACGAAAGGAGAGGGTCAGGGGTTAAGAGGGAAGGAGGATGATGGGCGCATTATAAAATCATTGCGGAACCCAAGTCAAAATCAACAGATCAGGAGCTCGTGGAGAGGACGCTGGAAGAAGAGGGGCAGGGGGATGAGAACAGGAAGATGAGGGGGGACAAGGAACTTCATTGATAAATGAAAGGCGCGAGATAGAAAATGGCAGGTCAATAGATGGGGGAGGAAGGAGGTTGGAACACAAGGGAGTACCAGTAGTGAGGAGTGGCGAGTAACCCATAGAGCATTATTGTTGTTTTCCTCCTTGCGAAACAGATTGTCGGAGCTCATGAAGAGGACGGGGATGATAGTTGTTGGAGTGCCCCTTACAAATCGATCAGTAAGGTCACAAATGGTAGACTGAAAGACGGGAATGAAGATGATGGATCGAGGATTGGAAGATGAGGGGGAGACGAACGAGGGAGGGAGGGGGGGGAAGAGTGGCAGCGGGAAGGGTTAACAATGTTTCCCCTTGGCCTTTATGAATTTTGCCAAAGAGGGGGTGGTGTTGAGGGAAGGAGGATGAGGAGAGAGCGTTTTCTTGCCCCTGGGCCCTGGCTACATTTCTTTCTCCCCGAGTTTTGCAGAACTCAAAGGGCTGGATATCAGGAACAGGAGGCTGGGAAGGTAGGGAATGAGAAAGGTAGGGGGAGGAGAACGTTTTTCCTGCCCCTTCTCCTGCTTCAACCTGACAATAAGAACGTGGAAGTGTAAAGGATCTGGATGACAGAGTGAAGATGAGTACACCTAATGAATCTGTAGTGGGAGCAAAGTCTCAAGCAGCAGGGCACAAAACGAAGTTCATGATCGAGAGGGTGAAAGATGAGGGGGAGGTGGAGGAGTGCAGGGAAAGAGTAGCGACTTTCCCTCGGGCAACAAAGGTTATGAAAAGCTGACGAGAGGAGGATGGGGAGGTATGGGCTGCCCTGGCGTTGGCTGTATGTTTCACCCTGTGTTTGGGGCGGGGGATGATGAACGAGATGGTGGGAGGGGAGACAAAGAGCAGTGGGGAGAAGTCCCAAGTTAAAGCACGTGGAGAGTTCACGGTCCTGTATGGATCACGAGGAATGTGTGCATAAAGTCGAATCACCACTGACCCCAGACTCCACAAAGCCGACACCCGAGAGCACAACATCGCAAGGTCGGAGGTCGCCTACCTCCTTCAATCTTTCATACACAATTTCACTTTTGCCCAGCGGCATAGTAGCGCATTGTTAAAGAAAAGAAAAAAGTGAATGTTAACGCTGTGTGGACGATTGCCCCCCAGTACTGTAGTCGACGTAATGTTTCATTCATCATGTTGAATCACTTTAATTTGGAATTTGAAGAATGTCGGGTATGCGTCCAGTTGTGTTATCTGGATGCTGGCTCAGGGGTTCTCGCCGTTTTTCTTTTTGGCATGTGGGAGCTCAGCACTGCTCTTAAGGGTAGCCCCTTTTGTACTGCTACCCTGCTTGATATGATGCAAGCGATATAGTGCCTGTGCAGAGTCTGTGTTGTGTGGACTTCCAGGCCGTGGGGACTCTGCAAACTTGTTCATGGAACATTGCTGTGAGAACTAGATGACAACCCCTTTGTTCTCTCTCAACCTTTCCCAACTTCTCTGTTGCTTCAATCTTTCTGGTTTCTCAAACTTTCCTTTCTCTCTCGATTTCATGAACAGACAGCAGAGCAGGAAAGACGGAATCGAGAGCGTCAAGTGGATTCCGATGGCCAAGATCCTCTTCTTCACGATGAGGATGGGGATGAAGATCCACCAGGGGGCCTAGTGCGGCGCACCGTTCATCGTGAAGAAACAAGGCGAAGCACAAGGTAAAATGAGTTCAGTCAGTTATGAAATCCCAATCCTGCTGTCTATGTTGCGTTTGCTTTTACTCACGTTGCTGATGTGTTCTGTACATCTATGTCTGGGCTGTGATGACCGAACGTCATTTGGGATGTTGGTTGTGCATACGTTTGATGAGAGTTCTCATCAGATTCATCATTTCATTATATGTTCCAGTATGACTATGCTATAGCTCGCCACCCCTAATATTTAGTTACTGCCTGCAAATCAGAGTGATGCTCTTGTGAAGCACGTGTGTAAGCTTGCTCCTGTGCTTAGAAGAAGGTCACTGGGTCGGAGCTGGAGCTAGCAGTAGAAGTGCTGTCAGTGCCTGTCACCTGAAGTTGGCAGTACAAGTGTGAGCTGGCAGAAGTGCTCTCTTGTTGTATCCAGTGGACCTTTTCCATAAACTGTAGAGTTTTTGAACTTGAAGCAGCATTCCTGGTGCTGGTTAGTAACCACTTGACATTGTGACAATTGTTTTTTCTCCCCTATTTTGTCTCTCTTAAACAACCACTTCTTCCGAGCCTCTTTTTGCCGAGGCGGAAAACAACGTTTTACCAAGGCGACGAATTACCAAGCCGATGAATTGCCAGCACGACGTTTTTTGTTTTTGTTTTGGCTAGCCCCGTAAGCCATTTTTATCCAATACCATTGCTCAGCCAAAAGCCGTGGAATGATTCATTTTGTTTTTTGCCTGTGAAAGGTAATAGTGGTTTGAAATGGATCATTTCTCGATTCATGTGTGTCATCCCTGTGCAGGGGGCACACTAATCTTCTCTGTATCATTCTAATTTTAGCGGATGCCCGAAAGGACACTGCATGGAAGTTGTTTGTCTTGTCGTAGCGACTCTCTGGACAAACTGTGGAGTTGAGGACTCATGTATCTGAGGATGGAGGGATGAACAGTGAGCAGGCACATCTGGTCCAGGTGCACATATTAACCATAACACCGAAGCGTGCTGGCGTTTGGCCTTTCATTCTGAGTTTCTTAGCTCTTGCCGGTGAAAATGAAAGATTGGGCCGTTTTAGCTTCAATTTTTTCCTGGACACGTATGCTTCCATGGAGAGAGAGAGAGAGAGAGAGAGAAGGTAGTACTTGCTCTATTTGTCTTCAAGGGGCAGTTCTCTGTGACCATAAATAGAGGATTTCTGAACCTTCCTACTACAGTTTTCTCTGGTCAGGTTGAGGGTAGTGGTTGGGGCTGTCACTATGCGGCCAACTGTGCCTGCTCTTGTGCAAGTGACGTTCTCTGTTCCGTGGGGGGTTTCCTGCCTTGTGATGTGGTGCAAACCTGGAGTCGATGGTCTAATCTGTCTGCTGTGGGGAGTGATGGTCTGGTTTTATTGTTGTTACAAGTACTCTGAGGACTGTGGTTCGTTCCCACATTGGAGTATAACTCGTGGGGCAGTGGCTTGTGCCCATCTGTGACTGGTGTTACAGCGCATATCTCTCACGTTATCATCTTTTATAACACTGCAGGCTGCAAAGTGTTCAGCCTCCTGATGAACATGGGAAGCATTTACAAAACTCTGTCGCAGTCCCCCATGTCTCGTCTTTCTCTTTCTGCCTACGGTTCACCTCTCAGTTCTCCTTGGCAATGTATGCAGTGGTGTTGCCATTTTATGGACCACCACGGAGTGCAAGTCTTCACCAACCTCCACACAGTAGATACAAGATGGACATTGGAGTCATTGGACACCATATTAGAAATTATTGCAAAACAGAGAATGATGAACAGCATCTCCACTTATGTACATGGTGGCTACGGCTGCCTCATAGCAATCAACGGGTAGCCCTCTCCCTCTCCCTCTTTCTCTCCCTGTCTCTCTCTGTCTATGGACCATCTTCTCCTCTGAATGTGTTCTGCCTCTCTCATTCTCACTCACACTCACCCCCCCTCTCATGCCCTAAGTCTGGCACCCTGCACTGGTGACTACCCTACTTGTTGTTTCCCCAGTTTCACTCTTTGTAGGGTTGCACAAGTACGCAGCAGAGTCGAATAAAAAAATGTGTTGATGTCTGGCGGTGGTGGACTCTATGCCTCCATGCGGCTCCCATACTTTGGACTGGTACTGGGTCCTTGCTTGTTGGCCACAGTTGCCACTTGACTTTTCCATCAGGTACTGGAATTTTCCGGGACTGAGCTGCTACTCTTGGACTGTACGGGCAATTCAACTTCCTAATCTGATGACCTATTGACTGAGTTGAACAGAGGCCTCTGTTGCTGGACAGCGGCCTTGGACTACTGGGCCTACCGGTTCAAGTATTGTACATGTGTCCGGGACACAGGACTCTGGGACTAGGCCTGTGACTTACAAACATAAATACGTGCAATCCTTTCATATACATATAGTGTAGACCACATGAGGGATCTGCGAATGGCTGACCAGCATCGTTTGCATGAACCGTAAATTTGTGCCCCGCCACGCACAGACCACATGGGTGATCTGCAAATGACTGACCAGCAAATGACCCAAGACACTTTGGGCTTGCAACACCTTCCGGACGATCTGCAAATTGTTGGCCGGCATCCGCCACACCAGCCTGAGATCCTTATCAATCTGTGTGATCTGGCCGCAACTGATATCTGTCTTCACATTCTTCACCGCCCGTTTTGTACACCGTCAGACTTCCTTGCAATTGCCCTTCAGCTTGATGCTGATCTTCCCCGCCTACAGTGAGAGGATTGTAATTATACCAGGGAAAGATACTTCACCATTGCTGTCCTACAAGTAGCAACGAGGGACCATCAACTTGAACTGCGGAATGCTCAAGCAGGTGAGTTGTGTAATCCTCCATCCCACATCTCTGCCTGCATTGTGCCCGGACCTGGCCGTTACATGCCCATTGTACATCCCTCTGACCGCTTGGAGCTGTGGGACAACGGTGTCATGGTTCATGCCATAACTGATGTTACTGATTTCTTACATTATGATGCTGCTTTCTTGCCAAAGCAAGCTGTCCGTGATCTTTTTTATGTCAAGGATCATTCCTCTGGCCCTGTGCTGCAGCAGGACAATGTACCAACGCTCTGCGACCTTCTCCTTTGCACAGCTACAAACACTGTTACACTCGGCTGTAGTCGCCATCCACAATCACTCCAATGACATGGTTTCTGCATCCATGTGTGTGGAGGACTGTCCTTCCGTTGCTGACTGCAGGCACCCTCGGCATCCGGACACTGTATGTCCATTTTGTGGTCATGGGCGCTATAGTGAGTGCATGGTCTTTTGCGGTGAATGTTCTTCCGTTATTTTGGCCTGCAATCGACATGTCATTAGTCGGGGGTGTATGGTGGGCATGCTGAATGCCAGTCATTGGGGCAATTATCGTACTGAGAATGCTCGGCTAGGTCGTCTGTGTGTTCATCCACTTCATCCAATGTATGTCCTCTCTGTCGTCAAGGACAGACTCATTCTTGAACCTTTTCTCATCCTCTCCTTTGCCTTCATCTTCATTCCACACTCTGTACTTTCCTTTGTCGTTCTTTGTTAGTCTTCTCTCCATCCCTCTTCCCTGTGTTTATCCCCTTCCCCCTTACTCTGCCTCTTTCTCACAGCGTACAAGTGGGCCGTTATGGCACACTGGGATGTGGGCAGCTTGCGCTCAACTGCATCAACGTGGCGAGCCCTGTACGTGGGAGGCACGGTTAAGGAGTTAAGAAGAAGAATGAGGAAAATGAATAGTTTCAGTGTGCCCTTCATGTTTTTTTTTCTTTATGTTTACCATTTGTTTCGGAAAGTGTGCTCTTTTAGTTCAAAATTGCGGATGTACGACTTGCAAATGCACCCGCATGGTGCTGTGCATGGCATGTGCAGCGCATGGGGGAAGTAGGCACCCAGGAAAAAAGGGCTCACAGCCCTTGGATCAGTGGTCACCTGCACTCCCTTTGAAAGTTCCTTGTGGGATGGGGGGGGGGTGGGGGGCAGTGGGAGAGAAATATCACCACCTAACGGTCAAGACTGATGTCCCAGACGCTCATTTAAGGCTATTTCTCATGTCCAATTGGACAAAAAGAAAAATTTGTACAACTGTACGTGAATAGGATCTCTTCCGTAGGTGGTGCACTCTTCTGTATGTACAAAAACAGCAGCAACAACAACAAAAAAGCTGCTGCAGGTACGGCGCACGGGCGAGTGCTGCGCCGCATGCTGTGCGGGCCACTGCATGGTGCAGTTGGAGGCATGCTATATACTGATGTATGGTCCATGCTGCGATTGATGTTTCTGACTGCTTACATAATAGTGCTATCCACTTGCCACAGCAAACCGTCCACACATTTTTCCATGTGGAAGATAATTTCACTTCCTCTGTGCTGCAGCAAGACAATGTATCTACATTCTGCGACCTCCTCTGCACGGCTACAAACACTGTGAAACTCAAGCTGCAGTTGTCATAGTCTCTATTACAACCATTACAATGGCATTGCTCCTGCATCCATGTGTGCAGACGACTGTCCCTCCTCTCCTGACCGCAGGCACCCTCCACTTCTGGACACTTTTGCGGCCTATCCTGAATGCTTGGCATTTTGCGGTGCTGTTCTTCCTTCGTGTTGGCCTCCAATCGATATGCGATTTCCGGGGAGTGTTTGGTGGCGTGCTTAATGCCAGCCGTTGTGGGAATTGTTTCACTGAGATGAGGTCTTCCGTGTCATATCCTCTCTGTCGTCAAGGACAGACTGTTTCCAGAGCCTCAGCTCATGCTTTGGTCTTCATTTCACGCTCCCTACTTTCCCGTACTTTCCACTTGTCTTCCTTTGCTTTGTCTCCATTCCATCTTTTCTCTGTGTTTATTCCCTCTTCTTTTGCTCTGAACCTTTTTCACAGCATAAGTGGACCGTTGTGGCACAGGGGGATGCGGGTCATGCTCAAACTTCATCAACGTGGGGAGCCTCATTCGTGAGAGCCTCCGTGAAGAGAAAGCTGAAAGAAATAATGAAAGAGGTGACAGTAAGGAAAGAAAAGGAAAAGTTCCACAGGAAGA